CCTCATCTGAGCCGAATAACTTCATCTGACCCCCTAGTCATCAAGCTTCCTTACATATTATTTAGCAAAGTTTCATCTTGCAGTTTTGTGCCTTAAGAGCAAGCAGGGGTTTTCTTTTTTGGATGCTGCCCAGAGGCATTTTGAAGTGTCACAGAAGCTCCCATTTTCCATGATAACACCTGTTGCAGCTGTATTTCGACAGAATCTCGTAGCTTAATCATGAGTTCCTTGAAGACGTTCCACCTCTCATCTAAGAGACTTCATCAGTTCTGACCGACTAGCTGGGAGTTCCAGATACTTAAATCCTTAAGGATCCATGAACACCTGAGTTTCGGTTTCAATTGGGGGGTTTGTTTCTCCTCCCCCCGACAAACCCCCCAATTGAAACCGAAACTTCAAGAAACTCAATTGGTCCTGTTGTTACGATTAATCTACGAGAATAACCATGACCTGGAGGACTGAGAATCTTCACAGACCTCAAGGATATCGGTATCTGGAACTCCCAACTAGTCAGTCAGAACTGATGAAGTCTCTTGGATGAGAGGTGGAACGTCCTCAAGGAACTCAAGCAAGTCCAGTTGCTAGGATAAAACTGTGAGAATAACCATGACCTGGATGGCTGAGAATCTTCACAGACATATTTTGACAGATATTTAGTTCATCGCCAATCTCTCTTTATCCTTTTCCGTCTTTGTGAAGATCAGATTTGTCATTTCTTTCCATAATTGTTTTCTATGTTGAGCCATGATGCAGACAGAACATAGAAGCTCATTTTATAACCATGTTTGGCAGTTAGCCTGATCGAAAATCACAGGTGTGCTTAGTTTTGTTTCAAGGATTGTGTGTCAGTGATCACAGGTGTATTCACTTCCATGGTTTCTGCTCTGGGCTCTGCACTTATGTGGTCTTTTCAAATAATTCATTTTTTGTTGTTCGTAAGAGGCAATACTCTCCCTGTCAACTTAGAATGAATGCAGTTATTTGAGATGTGGTGCAGTTTTGAGTCATTTGAGCCATATTAGACTAGGGATGTACTCACTTCTCTTGTGTACTGCANAAGAGAAATCTGAACACATTTACCTTTACACCCTCGCATCGATATGACAGATATAATTATCACGATGATGACGAACGTGACAATCCCAGCAGCCAGGTACACATAGATCAGTAAGCCTTCTGATGAGTCATCATTAGAATTTGAGCTGTTAGCTAGAAGAAGACAAGATTTGACTCAGTATGAATATAAAACACAAGAACAGAACAAATGTACAGAGTTAAGATAAAAGGTGAGGCAAGAAAGAAATAGGTGGAATAGCAGCATGACTACAAACATACATAAACTGATCGTACTTGTGCCATGCGTTGGTGTAACACTGGTAGTCTCATTATTACCTGTAAAACAACAATGATTCAGAATGTAGCGCTGCCTTAGTTTATTTATCACTCAATAGCCGTTAGAAATATCAGCTCTATAATGTGAACACAGGTTAAATAGGTCAGTATTGAACTACTTAAAAAATCACACTCACCATCGACGACAACATTGATGCCGTGACTCACATCACGTCCATCCCTACACTGATAAACACCTGAGTCGCTTCTGAGAATGTTCTGGAAGATCAAAAACGACATCCCTTCCTGCTTCGTTGACAGTTCCCACATTGTTTTAATGTGACCTCTACTGCTGACATTAACAGGGACCCGAACACCATTCACAAATTTAAACCAGGAGACTGTTGGTGCTGAACTGCTGCAGAAAAAAACTGTGCAGGTAATCCTGAGTTCTTGTCCAACTAAGGCCTTGAAAACTGTGTTGCGGCGAACATTAATTCCTGCGACGCATTCCTCAGCTTCAGAGTCTTTACCTGCACAAGACAAATGACACAAAACACATGAAGATGGCAAATGAGAAGTTACTTAATTCTTGTTTGGTATCAAAAACAATTGAATTTTCTTCCAGTTAATGACAGTAGCATTTTCAGTAAAAATGGTGGACGTAAGTTTAACAACTTAAAGGATGCCAAACTTGTACAAGAGCGCACACTGTAAGCTTTCTAACGTCTTAGCAAGACTGCAAAAGCAGAATACAGCATTCAACAGAAGTTAGTGAATAAGTCACAATGTTGTCTTTTTTCTTCTGTAGAAACTCTTGTGTAATTTTGTGCTTTGGTTTATCTTCTGCAGACTGGGAGTCATCTTGTCAGCCAATATTTTGGTTTATCCTCAGACACTCATCTATAAATGTCATCCCCCAGCACCTTTTTCACTCATGCAGCCCCACATCATAATACCTCCACCTCCGTGCTTCACTGTCAGGACCATGCATTCCCTATGGTGGTCCTGAACAGGTTCATAGCAAACATG